CTTATTGAACTTTTCAGCTCCAGAATTTTTATCTTCTTCTCTTCTATAATTTCTGATTTTTTTTTATATCCTCTGTTAGTGAGGTGTTGTTCTCATGCTTTTCTTTAGTTCTTTAGAGGTGGTTCCCTTAGTCCTCTGAACATATTTTAAATAGCTGATTTAAGGTCTTTCATAGTTCCAGTACCTGGGTTTTTCAAGGACAGTTTCTGTCGATCGTGTGTCCCATCTCCTCTCCCTGTGTTTGGCCCTACTTTCTTGTTTCTTTGCGTGTCTTAGAAGCTCTCATTGAAAACTGGACACTTTAATTAACGGAGCATCTCTGGCGTGAGCGTCCTGTGGCTGCCATGAGAAAGTGCCGCAGACGGAGTGGCCTGAAATAGCTCTGGAGGCCGGAAGCTGGAGGTCAGGGTGTTGGCCGGGTCTTCTGCTCTGAACCCTCCTGGGGAGGATCCTTCTCTGCCCATCCGGCTCCCGGGGGTGGCCAGCCAGCGGGTGTCCCTGGGCCTGCAGCCGCCCTGCCTGTGTTGCCACGTGGCCTCCTGGCTGTGTGTCCGTGTCTTTGTAGTCTGTCCCTCTTTCAGGTGCTGCGGTCACTGGGCGAAGGCCCAGCCTCATGCTCTGTGACCTCACTGTGACTTAACTCATTATTGCATTAGTAGATGTGCTCTGGGTTGTCGCAAGCCTTTGGTCACTTTCCAGTGTTCTGAGAAAGCAGATTCTGACGATTTTTGCCTTTGTCCTCATTGCTTTTGTGGAGCAGAGGGTTTTTGGAGACCCTGACTGCCTTTCTTGCCGATGTCACCTGCATTTTATGGGCTTCCCTGGTGGCTCAGATGGTAAAGACTTGGCCTGCAGGGCAGGAGACCTGGGCGCTATTCCTGGGTTGGGAAGATGCCTGGGAGGAGGGAAGGGCTTCCCACTGCAGTATTCTTGCCTGGAGAGTTCCACGGACAGAGGAGTCTGGTGAGCCGCAGCCCATGGGGTCACAGAGGAGTCGGACACGACCGAGGGACACACGCACACACTCTGCCTCTCCTGCTGATGTCACCTGCCTCTTACACATAAAGACTTCATACAGTTATTGTTTACATCCCAGCAGTTTGCTCATTTAAAGTGTGTAACGCTGGTCTTTAGTGTATTTCCCGCCGTGCAGCCATCAGCACAGTCGGTTTCAGAGCATTTCCTCAGCCCCGGAAGACACCCATTCTTCCTCAGCAGCCATCCCCACCGCCACCCCCCCACCCCCCAGCCCCCAGCCCTACTGAAGCACCACGCTACTGTCTGTTTCTGCACATCGACGTGTTTTGGTGTTTCATGTAGATGGAGTCATCTCACATGTGGTCTTTCGTGACTGGCTTCTTTTCACTTGCTGTCTATCCTGTGTTCGAGGTTCACCCATCCGTCGTCTGACTCTGTGACCCTGTTGTGGACTGTAGCCGCCAGGCTCCTCGGTGCGTGGGATCCTCCAGGCGGGAGTCCTGGGCTGGGTTGCTCCTCCTCCCCACTGTGTGCGCGCACCACTTTTATTTATCCATTCAGTTGATGGACATTCGGGCTCTTCCTCTTCAGCTCTTGTGAACAGTGCCGCTGTGGACATTTGTCTGCTGGTCTTCTTGTGGACACACACTTTTGTTTACCGTGAGGGTGTACCTAGGAGTGAAATTTCAGGTCGTATAGTAACTTTTGCTAACATGCTGAGTAGCTGCCAGGCCGCTTTTGAGGGCAGCTGCACCATTTCCACACGTGCAGCGTGCGTGAGGGGTCTCCACATCCTCCCCAGCACTCATTGTAAGCTTGTTTTTCTTTGTAAATTAGAGGTGGCGTAGGGCGTTGGGCTGTGATGGTTCACGGTGCCGAGGCTCTTCTCATGCACGTCCTGGCCATTTGAACATCTTTGGAGAAATGTCTATTGCAGACCCTTTGCTGGTTTTTAAGTTGCGTTATTTGTGCTTTAACTGAGTTGTAAGTTTTTTTTTTTTTTTGTATATTCCAGATCCAAGCCCTTTACTAGATATATTATTTGCAGGTATTTTCTCTGATAAAAAGATTCTCCCCCATTACTTTTTTAGCTTTATTGTTTACTGGTTTCCCACACATTCTTTGCTCCAGTTGAAGATTTCGCTTTGTTTCAGAGTGGGTTTTCCCTCCTAGAAATGCAGTAAGTATCAGTAAAGAGGCACTCAGCAAGCATTCCTCGGGCCCCTGTTGTGAGCCAGACCCCCCAGCCCCTCATGCCCAGAAGCACCTGAGCACAGAGCGAGGCAATCCCCGCTCTCCTGGGTTTGCTGCGTCCTGCCTGTGTCTTGTTCCCAGGGCACTTTTAGGGTAATCATGGCCTGGTTTCCATTCTCCCTTGAGTTTGGATGTTTATAGGTTGTGCCTGGCAGTGGTGGACACTCATAGCGGTTTGCTGTGTGGACGAATTACTGAGCTCAGGGACCCTGTCTTACTCATCACCTTCCATTCTCCCTTGAGTTTGGATGTTTATAGGTTGTGCCTGGCAGTGGTGGACACTCATAGCGGTTTGCTGTGCGGACGAATTACTGAGCTCAGGGACCCTGTCTTACTCATCACCTTCCATTCTCCCTTGAGTTTGGATGTTTATAGGTTGTGCCTGGCAGTGGTGGACACTCATAGCGGTTTGCTGTGTGGACGAATTACTGAGTTCAGGGACCCTGTCTTACTCATCACCGTGTTCCCTTGAGCTGGCGCTTAGGAAACACTTGTTGGCTCCTTTAGGGTTCTTGTGGTCCTCAAGGAGACTGTGTAAACACAGTTTTAAGGCCCTCAAAGTGTTTTTCCTTGGAAAGGGCTGGGCTCCTGAGATGACTTGGGAGAGCAGGTGCCTTCTATAGCTGTGGTCTCCACATGTTTTTAACCATTAAGGCACTGGGGGTTCATTGTTGGGGACAGCCTCCCATATGTATACTTCATGTACACACACTCATGTATACACAGTCATATATGCATGTGCACATATTTACTCATGCATATACGTACACACACAAATACACACATACTGTGTGTACTGTATTCACATTCTTGTATTCACGTGCATATACATGCACTCATGCACACATAGTCATGCATACATGTGCACATATTTACTCACTTGTACACACAAGTGTACACACACACTCCTATATTCATATGTGCGTATATATGCACTCATGCACACAGTCGTACATGCATGTGCACATATGTACGTATATACTTATAAACACACACCCCTCATATTCACATGCACACACATATGCATTCTTGCACACAGCCATACACGTATGTGCACATGTTCATGTATATTCGAACACACTTATACACATACACACATGCATATGCACACACTCCTCATATTCCTGTGTACACCACATGCACTCGTGTACACACACTCATGCACATATACACACTCAGATACTCACATGCGTTGCATATGTGTGCACACGTACACACATTTACACACTTCACACACATGGACACTTTAACACTCGCACGCTCGCACACACTTACACTTTTACACATTGACACACTTCGCACACACCTGCACGCGCGCACACATTCGCACACTCGCGCACACATCCACACATGAATATTTTAGTAAGTTGCGTGTGCGCTCTTCTGTTACATGCGTGCTGCTGCTGCTGCAGTTCGATCTCTCAGTCGCGTCCGACTCTGCGACCCCATGGACTATAGCCCGCCAGGCTCCTCTGTTCATGGGGTTCTCCAGTTAACCATACTGGGGACTTGATTCCTCCTCTAGGAGATCTTCCTGACCCAGGGATCAAACGTGCGTCTCCTGCATTGCAGGCAGATTCTTTACTACTGAGCCACCAGGGACGCCCCCTATGTGCCTTATAGTGTAATCTAAAGAGGAAGAGAGAGAAAATACGAGTGAGTTGCTAACACTGTCTTCCTGCTCCTGGTGGGTTATTGGGGCCCTGGAGTCTCTGCCCTCCCTGGGGGTCTCCGTGCCTCAGAGCACGCAGTATTGAGCTTTTGTGCGGAGTTTCGAGGCCCTTGGGGGTTCCTGCATACACATTAAGCCCCTGTTTTCTTTCTTAATCTTTAAGGTCAATTCAAGGCCGCTGTATTTTGAATCCTAAAAAGCTAAGTGATTTCACAGATGGAAATAACCCTGATAATTCTGTATGAGAATGTAAACCAGAATCTTGCATTGAAAAAGTCAGTCCTATAAAGTGATACAGCCACACTGCTGAAGATTGAGAAGATGGAGAAATGCAGTTTGTTCTGTTTATTTACAGCACTGTTTCCAGGAAAAAGACCTTTCCCCCAGAGGGACACCTTAACCTTTATTCTCTTTTCTTAACTGGAAAGAATGTTTTCTCTTAAAGTTTTAAACTCTTTGTGCTAAAAACCAAGCTGACCTTTTAACAGGGTTTTCTCGTTTGTTTGCTGGCAGCTTGCTAGACGTAAAACCTCTGATCTGTCTTTGCCTGTCCGGTGAATGACACATGGTGGCTTCTCGTGTCTAAGGAAGGCGGAGTGTTCGGGCCCAGTGCTTTGCTTTGTGTGAGCAGGAGCCCAGCTCAGCGGGCACCGGGCTAAAGCAGACATGCCGGTTTTCACACATTAGGGTGACTGGGTCGGCAAGAAGGCAGAGTGCGTTGATTGTGGAAGTGCCTGCTCATGGGGAAACGGGGCCTGTTTCTTATCCTTTAACCCTTTACTTGACCCCGGAGAAAAGGAAAAATCTTGTTTTTTGCATGTAGCTTGGAAACATGCCACTCCTTCTCCTCTGCCCAGGTGGAAAACTAGACCTGCCTGGCCCTGGATGTGGGGGTGTATGTGCTGATTCACGGCCTGCTGGTTTATGAGGGGAGGATGTGGCCCCGAGGGGACGCCCGGCTCGAATGAACGAGCCAGACGTGGGCCAGGACCGGGCTTGGTCGGGTGCCGTGGCTGGGGTTCACGTGCTGAGCCAGCAGGCAGGGGCAGCGGGGCGGCCTCTAGGCTGAGCCGCGGTGCTCACCTTCTCTCCACAGACTCGCCAGTGCCCCCAGTCAGCGAGCCCAGGGCCCCAGACGCCGGTCGGATGCAGGTGCCAGCGGGGAACCCGCTGCTGCTGTCGCTGACGCTGCAGGAGCTGCTGGCCAGGGACGCCGTGCGGGTGGAGCTGGTCCCGGAGAAGAAGGGCCTGTTCCTGAAGCACGTGGAGTACGAGGTCTCCAGCCAGGTACCCGTGGGCAGGGGGGGGGGGACCCCCGCGCCTGGCTCTGGCTCGCTGCCCCTCGCCCAGGCACCCGCCCGCCCTTCCCAGCCCCGGGCCCCGGGGCCCTGCCTCTCTGGGCGCTCGGTTGGGCTCTGGCCCAGACAAGCTGGCCCTGGGCGGTCCTGCAGTGCCGGGCAGCCCCTGGGAAGCGGAGTGCGGGCCCTGCACCGCAGATCAAGTGTGCGGGCGGGACTGGTCTGGGGGGCTCATCCCCAGAGGGTTCTGCGTCCCCGTCAGGGGAGTCCCAAGGTCAGAGCGAGTCGAGTGCCGGACACCTGGGCCCGGGGTGGCCGTACGTGGGCTGTCCCGTGGCGTCAGCAGCGTTGATCTTCTGTCCTTTGCCTGTCATCGAGTTCAGCTGGGACGTGTTTTGATAGGAGCTTTTATTCTTTATCCTGGAAATGAAGTCATTGGTGAACTAAGAGCGTGTGTGTGTGTGTGTGTGTGTGTGTGTGTGTGTGTGTGTGGTGCGGGGAGCAGGGGGGATCTCGTAGGGTCAGAGTGGCCCCCCCAGTGCCGAGAGCCAGCTGGCTTACAGACTTGGGTCGCAGCCCTGGAGGGCTCAGGCCAGGGGAGGGTCACGATCATCATCCAGGCAGAAAGGCACGTGGGCACGCGGGAGCAGGTTCCCCATGGCAGACGGCTGTTCCGTGGAAGTTAAGGATCGCAGCATTTTTGCCTCACTGTGTTTTGAAGCCACGATGAGGGGAGCCTGGAACTAAACTTTGCTCTGACACTGGTCAGCGCCGCTGCCGAGGGAGGCGGCTGAGGTCAGTGAGGGAAGGAGGCCCTCCCTTGTTTCGAGGACTGCGTCGCTGGCGGGCACCACCGCCGCCTGGCGTCTGCGGCCGCAGCGGGGGTGGAGGCGCCAGCGCCGCCTCTGGGGCCGCGTCACCCGGGGGCCGGGCACCCGCGTGCGTGACTCACCGCCCTACTAGGACAGCGGCCTTGTCTTCGGTCTCACTAATGGCCTGTTTCTTAAGTCAGTCAGTGACCTCACGGTGAGCATTTTCAGGAGGAGGCCGATCTGCCCAGGTTGCCTCCTGAAGTGTGGGCGAGGGGTGAGCCTGCTGAGGATGGGGCCTCGGGGCCGGAGGTGGGGGGTTCACCAGGCTGCGCCCCCTGCTTGCACAGCTGGTGGAGCCGTGGTCAGTGCAGGCGCGGCACTGGGCCCGGCACGTGGCACAGGCAGCCGCCCGGTCACCTCTGTGTGCGTCACAGCCTAAGGGTTCTCACCGTTCAGTCGCTCAGTCGTGTGCGGCTCTTCCTGACCCCCTGGACTGCAGCACGCCAGGCTTCCTTGTCCTTTACCGTCTCCCAGAGCTTATTCAAACCCATGTCCATTGCGTTGGTGATGCCATCCAGCCATCTCATCCTCTGTCGTCCCCTCCTCCTCCTGCCTTCAGTCTTTCCCAGCATCAGGGTCTTTTCCAATGAGTTGTCTCTTCTCATTAGGTGACCCAAGTATTGGAGCTTCAGCTTCAGCATCAGTTCTTCCGATGAATATTCAGGGTTGATTTCTTTTAGGATTGATGGATTTGATCTCCTTGCAGTTCAAGGGGACTCTCAAGAGTCTTCTCCAACACCACAGTTCAAAAACATCAGTTCTTCAGCGCTCAGCCTTCATTATGGTCCAACTCTCACATCCATACATTACTACTGGAAAAACCATAGCTTTGACCAGATGGACTTTTGTTGGTAAAGTGATGTCTCAGCTTTTTAATATGCTGTCTAGGTTGGTCATAGTTTTCCTTCTAAGGAGCAAGTGTCTTAATTTCATGGCTGCAGTCACCATGTGCAGTGATTTTGAAGCCCAAGAAAATAAAATCCATCACTGCTTCACTTTTCCCCTTCTGTTAAGGGTTCAAAAAGTTGAATTGTGTTTTTTGGTTCACAGCAGGATTGAGGGAAAGGAACGGATTTCCCATGTTCCCCAGCCCCAGTGAGCACCCCCACCAGATGGAGCGTTTGTTACAGCTGGTGAACCTGCGGGGACGCGTGCTTGTCACGCAGAGTCCCCGGCCTCGCTGGTGCGCGTCCTCAGGTGTGGCCCGCCGCTGCAGCCTGGCGCCTGCAGGCCCCGTTGTTCCGTCTTGGGGCTCCAGCCGCCGCCCGCCCCGGGCACCACTGGCCTCTCACTGGTCCCGCAGCCTGTTCTCCTCCTGGCCTCGCATGGCGTGTCACGTCGCAGACTTCTTCCCCTCGGTGATGTCAGTCAGTGATTACAGTAACGTACTGAGTCTCAGTGGTCGCTGCTCGCGCCTGGGTCTCGTGTGAGCGCTTCTTTCGACCCCGACGAGGTTACTCGGGTCGGGGTGCTTGTCCTGTGGAGCCTGCGGGTTTTTCACGGGCGGGTCCCCGGTGGAATCTGTTGGCGGTTTCGTCTGAGTCACGAGTCTCCCGTGTCTCAGTCTTGGCACTCAGCGTTTGAGCTGCTTTTAGGCAGTTGGGTCTCTTTCAGGAGGCTGCTTGTGTCAGCACTGTTTGAGAGTGCATGCTGAGGACAGACCCTGAACGCTATCCTCGCGTGAAACCCACAGATGGGAGATACTGCCGTGTGGCTGAAAACTCCTGTAAAGAGACTCATGTCTTACGGAAGATCCAGAGCAATAGGTGGCTAATTAAGGGCGCAGTCAGAGCTGTGCGGTGTGTAAAGGTTGTGTCTCCGTCCATTGAGGACGTGTGGGATTCCCCCCCTTAGGGAAGGCCTGGTGAGAATGTAGGGCGTTTCATCGTGTTACTTCCCTGGGTCCTGTTCAGTGGCGGGAAGAGCAGGTCAGGGGAAGTGGTGAAGGTGAGGGTGTCTGGCGAGGACTCTGAGCTTTGCGCCCTCTTCCTGCAGCGCTTCAAGTCCTGCGTGTACCGCCGCTACAACGATTTCGTGGTCTTCCACGAGACGCTGCTGCACAAGTTCCCGTACCGCATGGTGCCGGCCCTGCCGCCCAAGAGGATGCTGGGAGGTAACGCTGGGTGTGCTGGGGCCCGGGGGGTCGCGGGGAGTGCGGGGACCTCGAAGGCTGGGTCCTGTGCTCAGCCTCTGTGAACATGCAGCCTTCAGCAGATGGGATCCCGGGGGCCTTCATGGGGATATCCTAATCCAAGTGTCTTCCAGTGATTTAGAATTTTAATACTTTGTTTGGCGATGCTGCGTGGCATGTGGGATCTTAGCTCTCCCACCAGGGATCGAACCATGGCCCTGAAGTGGAAACTTGGGATCTTAACCATTGGATTGCCAGGGAATTACCCCAAGTAATACTTTAAATACCATTTTCATGGAGGAGGAAATGGCAACCCACTCCAGTATTCTTGCCTGGAAAATTGCATGGACAGAGGAGCCTGGCGGGCTACAGTTCATGGGGTCACAAAGAGTCAGACACGACTGGGCATGCATGCACACAGTACATAATATATAATTTATACTGCTGTGTGAAGCAGAGATCTTTTTCAAAATGTTATAACTAAGATCATGACATGTGGTCCCATCACTTCATGGGAAATAGACGGGGAAACAGTGGAAACAGTGTCAGACTTTATTTTTTTGGGCTCCAAAATCACTGCAGATGGTGACTGCAGCCATGAAATTTAAAGACGCTTACTCCTTAGAAGGAAAGTTATGACCAACCTAGATAGCATATTAAAAAGCAGGGACATTACTTTGCCAACAAAGGTCCGTCTGGTCAAGGTTATGATTTTTCCAGTGGTCATGTATGGATGACCATACATGAGTTGGACTATAAAGAAAGCTGAGCGCTGCAGAATTGATGCTTTTGAACTGTGGTGTTGGAGAAAACCCTTGAGAGTCCCTTGGACTGCAAGGAGATCCAACCAGTCCATCCTGAAGGAGATCAGTCCTGGGTGTTCATTGGAAGGACTGATGCTGAAGCTGAAGCTGAAACTCTCAGTACTTTGGCCACCTGATGCGAAGAGCTGACTCCTTGGAAAACACCCTGATGCTGGGAGGGGTTGGGGGCAGGAGGAGAAGGGGATGACAGAGGATGAGATGGTTAGATGGTATCACTGACTCGATGGATATGAGTTTGAGTAAACTCCAGGAGTTGGTGAGGGACAGGGAGGCCTGGCCTGCTGCGATTCATGGTGTTGCCAAGAGTCGGACACGACTGAGTGATTGAACTGAACTGAGTTGAAAGTAAAAAAAAAATACCGTTTTCATTTGTGGTCAGGTTGAAATACCCTCAGTGTGTAGTCGTATGCTTTTATTTTTTCCCCCTTCCTCAAAGTGAAAATACTTAACCCAAATAGAGACATCAGGAGGGGGTTGCAGCAGCGTCTGTAGGCCCTGTGGTGAGGGGTCAGACACTGCTGGCTAATGCCGGCAGGCTCTGGTTTTCCTGGTTTTCCTCGCAGATACCTGGCCTGGGTATGTCCCTGGGGGCAGGGTGTGGGGTCGGGGGCCCCCAGCCTTCTCCCGCAGCCTGTGGTCTGTCCGGTGCCCCCGGCTGGAAGTGTGGCTGGAGGGCCTTCTGAGCGGGAGGCGCTGGGCCCTGAGCGCCAGCCCGGGGGGCCGTGCCCCGGGCCCGCGGTCACCCGCGTCCTGCCCCCAGCCGACAGGGAGTTCATCGAGGCCCGGAGGCGGGCGCTGAAGCGCTTCATCAACCTGGTGGCCCGGCACCCGCCCTTCTCGGAGGACGTGGTCCTCAAGCTGTTCCTGTCCTTCAGTGGCCCCGTGAGTACCCGGGGGGGCCGGGGAGGGACCTGAGGCGGCCCCGCTCTCGTTGTCCAGTGGTTTCCTTTCGTTCTCTCCGCTCACTCCCCTAGTTCGGCCCTACGCCCCGTTTCCTGGGGCAGCCACGGGCAGGGCTGTCTCCCGGACGCGTGGGAGGCGTCTGCTCCGGCCTGTGGGTGGGCCGGGGAGGAGCCGAGGCTTCTCGGCACGCCCCCGAGGTTTGAAGCTGCTCCGCGGGAGGGAGCTCCGCGGTTGAGGGGCCCCCGCTGTGGAGGTGTGTGCACTTAGGAAAGGCCGGGGTGGACTCGGTGCGGTCCGCAGAGCTGCAGGTGGACGTGTGTCCCGGGCGGCGTGGGCTCTGCGTGCCGGTGACTCCGGGCGGCGTCGGGGCGGCCGCGTCCCCCTCAAGCTGCCTTTGGCCCATCCGGTCCAGCAGGAAGCTGGGCCACACCCCTGCTCCCAGCGGAGGCGGCGCTGCCGTGACAGCCCCGCGTGCCAGGCCCAAGTGCTTCTCCAGCACCGGGGGTTCCCCATGGACCCTCTCCTCGTGGGCATGGGCAGAGGGGACCCCGTGGAGGACTCCCCGCGCTGGAGTGGACGGCCCGGCCGCTGGCCCGGAGCCGCGGAGGCGGATTCCCCACTCGCCTGGCCTCCCGTCTTAGCGCACACTCCCTGGAGGCCAGAGGGGCCTTTGACCCTAGAGATCCTGTGGCCTCCCCTCTGGGGTGCCTGTCCCTCAGCCCCTTTTGTGGGACCCGTTCCAGATGTTCAGGGCGTGTCTGCTGTCATCTGCCCCTGAGCCAGCAGGTTGGGTCTTTTGAACCCTGGGGCTGGAACGGGGATCTTGACTGCCAGGAGGAAAGTGCTGGGAGTCTGCTGTCATCTGCCCCTGAGCCAGCAGGTTGGGTCTTTTGAACCCTGGGGCTGGAACGGGGATCTTGACTGCCAGGAGGAAAGTGCTGGGAGTCTGCTGTCATCTGCCCCTGAGCCAGCAGGTTGGGTCTTTTGAACCCTGGGGCTGGAACGGGGATCTTGATTGCCAGGAGGAAAGTGCTGGGAGTCTGCTGTCATCTGCCCCTGAGCCAGCAGGTTGGGTCTTTTGAACCCTGGGGCTGGAACGGGGATCTTGACTGCCAGGAGGAAAGTGCTGGGAGTCTGCTGTCATCTGCCCCTGAGCCAGCAGGTTGGGTCTTTTGAACCCTGGGGCTGGAACGGGGATCTTGACTGCCAGGAGGAAAGTGCTGGGAGTCTGCTGTCATCTGCCCCTGAGCCAGCAGGTTGGGTCTTTTGAACCCTGGGGCTGGAACGGGGATCTTGACTGCCAGGAGGAAAGTGCTGGGAGTCTGCTGTCATCTGCCCCTGAGCCAGCAGGTTGGGTCTTTTGAACCCTGGGGCTGGAACGGGGATCTTGAGTGCCAGGAGGAAAGTGCTGGGAGGTGGGAGGCACGTGGCTCAGGGCCAAGGGAGGGGACCCGGGGAGGTCAGGAGGCCCCTTGCTCCTACAGACGGGTGTGCCCCGGACCTCCCTGGCACCGTGTGCGTCTTTGGTGAAGGAGAGCACTGGGGCAGACGCTCTTCTCTGAAATGCTGTGCTTCCCGCAGCCGCACACCGCCGTGTGTTGGGGTCTCTGCCTGTGTTCTGTGGCTCTTCGTGGGGGCTCGTCTGAAGGCTGGGCTTTACCAGGGAGCCCCCCTTCCGCGGGCAGAGCATGGAGCCAGGGCGCGGGGCGCCCAGGGCTGTCCTTTCTCTGCCCGTCAGCTCTGCTCAGGCTCCGGGCCTGGTCCCGTGGGTCTGCTCAGAGGAGGAAGAAGCTTCAGTGTCTGAGCCACACGCGGGGCCTTCCCGGGCCCGGTGGTCCCGCGTCTGTCTCTGTGCTCCGGCCCCTGGTCCGCAGGTGCACTTTGTTTTTCTGGAGAGAGGGCTCCTCTCCAGAGCCGCCGTTTGCAGTGCTGTTGTGAAGTCGGGCTTTGCCACCTCTGGAAGACCAGCCTCCCCAGAGGTCAAGGCCAATGGGGGAAACAGTGGAGCAGGAGACAGGCAGAGAGACACTGCTGTCTCAGAGGGACTGGGTCCTGCCTTCCAGCGACTAGAATGGTCTCCTGCCCACCTCTCTGCGGCTGGCTGAGGGTCAGGGGTTTTTCTCTTCCCCCCCTTGCAGGACGTGCAGAACAAGTTGAAGGAATCTGCTCAGTGCGTGGGAGACGAGTTCATGAACTGCAAGCTGGCGGCTCGGGCCAAGGTACTTACCTGATTCTGGTGCTCACTCCCCCCAGAGCAGCAGCAGGGCTCACAGTTAGTCAGTTCTCTGAGCGCCAGACATCATTCTGAGACGTGTCGTGTGTTTTCCTCACCTGATCCTTGTTTCAGTTGATCTGAAGCACAGTGGGTGCCAGGCCCATTTTACAGATGGGGAAATGGAGGCTGCCATTGGCTGAGGTCCCAGATGTCTCGGCAGCTGAGCCTGTGTGTGACTCAGCTCCCTCTGACCACAGCGCCCGGCCGCAGGCCCTCGAGCCATATCCCCGGGCATTCCGTGACTCAGATGGACATGCCCTTGGTCGTCTGCTCTTTGGAAAGAAGGGAATTGATGGTTTGCACTGGTTTACTTTTAAATTTAGTTATCCCTTTTCTCAAAAGGATGACAGTAGCTATTTGGTAGCTTTTTTCATGATTCTTTCTTAAGCCACTTGTCCAGACATTACCTTCATTTTATTCCCTAAACTTTTTGTTTTCCAAGCATTGCGTAGTTAATATTAGTTAGTGTTAATGGGTAGCTAATGTTAAAGTTGGTGAGAAATTAGTCTTGGGGAATCAATGAGGGAACCTGGAGGCCTGCCTGGTGCAGTCGGGAAGCGCGCTCGTCGTGTTGGGCCTGAGGACTGCTTTTGCGGTGGGCACGTGGCGCTGGCCTCTGCTCTCCTCTTGGGCGAGAGGGGGGTCCAGGGCGGGCTCGTGGGCACGCGGCGCTGGCCTCTGCTCTCCTCTTGGGCGAGAGGGGGGTCCAGGGCGGGCTCGTGGGCACGTGGCGCTGGCCTCTGCTCTCCTCTTGGGCGAGAGGGGGGTCCGGGGCGGGCTCGTGGGCACGCGGCGCTGGCCTCTGCTCTCCTCTTGGGCGAGAGGGGGGGGTCCGGGGCGGGCTCCTGGGCACGCGGCGCTGGCCTCTGCTCTCCTCTTGGGCGAGAGGGGGGGGTCCGGGGCGGGCTCGTGGGCACGCGGCGCTGGCCTCTGCTCTCCTCTTGGGCGAGGGGGGGGTCTGGGGCGGGCTCGTGGGCACGTGGCGCTGGCCTCTGCTCTCCTCTTGGGCGAGAGGGGGGTCCAGGGCGGGCTCGTGGGCACGTGGCGCTGGCCTCTGCTCTCCTCTTGGGCGAGAGGGGGGTCCGGGGTGGGCTCGTGGGCACGCGGCGCTGGCCTCTGCTCTCCTCTTGGGCGAGGGGGGGGTCCGGGGTGGGCTCCTGGGCACGCGGCGCAGGCCTCTGCTCTCCTCTTGGGCGAGAGGGGGGGGTCTGGGGCGGGCTCGTGGGCACGCGGCGCTGGCCTCTGCTCTCCTCTTGGGCGAGAGGGGGGGGGTCCGGGGCGGGCTCGTGGGCACGCGGCGCTGGCCTCTGCTCTCCTCTTGGGCGAGAGGGGGTCCGGGGCGGGCTCGTGGGCACGCGGCGCTGGCCTCTGCTCTCCTCTTGGGCGAGAGGGGGGGGTCCGGGGCGGGCTCCTGGGCACGCGGCGCTGGCCTCTGCTCTCCTCTTGGGCGAGAGGGGGGGGTCCGGGGCGGGCTCGTGGGCACGCGGCGCTGGCCTCTGCTCTCCTCTTGGGCGAGGGGGGGGTCCGGGGTGGGCTGGGCCGGGGTCTGGGCTTGGCCACCTGCTCGGCGGGCGGGGCGGCTTCCTCTCCCGCCGCTCATCTCCTAGACAGCTGTCCTGTCTGGTGATGACCGTCCCCGCCTCCCGCCCCGTCAGGACTTCCTCCCGGCCGACATCCAGACGCAGTTCGCCATGAGCCGGGAGCTGATTCGAAACATCTACAACAGCTTTCACAAGCTCCGCGATCGGGCCGAGCGGATGGTGTCGCGGGCCATCGACAACGCTGCTGACCTTCTCATATTCGGCAAGGAGCTGAGGCAGGTGCCCTGGTGGGCTCCTCGGGGTCGCTTTTGTGGGGAGGGGCCTTAGACTTGGGTGGCAGGCTTGGAGGAGCAAGTGCGTTTACTGTGATGACCCTCATTCCGACCTCTTCACCCCAAGAGGGAAGGAAGGGGCCGGGGAGACTGGACATCATACTCAGGAGGAAGCTCAATGGCGGAGGGTGTGGGCAGCACGTCAGGTCCTAGACGTAGGCTCCCTCCCCTCCGTCCCGCTCCGTTGTCCGGATCAGACCTGAGAAGAGGCCACCCCGGGGCTGGTCACGCTCCGTCTCCCCTGGAGGAGGGGCCAGGCCTCCAGCCAGCGCTGCCCCCCGTGGCTCTCCCCGGAACTGCGTGCCTCCAGCCTGGGTCTTAGTGACGTGGTTCAGCCACCTTTCTCACAGATGCCCTGGGCGCCTGCTCTTTGAGCAGTGGGGGTCTGGGTTAGGAGATGCGCAGGGCGCCGGGGGGGGGGGGGGCGTGGTGTCAGGAAGTGGGGTGTTGGGCTGGCTGCCCGCCCGGCTTCCGGGCCTGCGTGTCTCTTCCCGAGTGTCTCCTCTTCCCTCAGCGCTCTGGGGTCCGACACGACCCCGCTCCCCTCCTGGGCCTCACTGAACAGCGGCACGTGGGGGTCCCTCAAACAGGCGCTGAAAGGCCTGTCGGTGGAGTTCGCGCTGCTGGCTGACAAGGCTGCGCAGCAGGTGAGTGGGCTTGGCCCCCAGGCGCCTGTCCCCAAGGACACCTGAGCCGTGGCGCGCGGGGCGTCTCCTCCTGCGGGGGACGTCAGGGCTGTGAGTCCTGCGTGGGGGCACCATGGCTGTCCGGTCGCTCTGCATGTCCCTGTCTGTCCTGGGTGGCTTCCGGGAGGTCTTCACGCTCTTGAGACTTGCTGATGCTGGGGACACACTGGGTCCTGGTCCCGGAGAGCCGACTTTGCTGAGACTGTGAGGTCTGCTCTGACCTTGAAGCTGTAACCTTGCACTTGCCAGGGCGCCTTGAGTGCACAGGCAGCCCCTGTTTTGCTCTCCTGGTCAGGTAGCATTCGGCCACTTGATAACTCATCAGAGCAACCGGGCTCCCAGCACCCCAGGGGCCCCACCCAGGTCTCACCCTGGACACCCAGTTAACCTCAAGAAACACTTCTGTTCTGCGGGCAGTGTTACTTGTATAATGGAACTCTGCAGAGAATCTTGTTGCTGGGGACTAATTTTCAGTCAGAGGGAAAAGAGAAGTGCATCTGGGTACTCTTAGGCTATAAAGCTGTTACTTAAGTTTAGGGGTGAGAGCGTGCTTCTGGCTCTTGGGGAAATGGGCTTTAGGCTGCTGGTGGGCGGTTTTAAATGCACTGAAACGCTGTCCCTGTGGAGGCCTTGCTGCCCGGCAGAGGCCCGAAGCTCCTTAGTAGTGAGTCAGCGATGGGCAGATGCGGGCGTTTTCAGGCTCCAGGTGCATGCTCAGCGGCCCACATGGCTCTGAGTGTCGGAACAGGAATCTAACCGCGTTTCTGGTGTGGAAAGTCCTGGGTTTTCTTCCTCCGCGGTCGCCCTGCCCGTGGGTTCTCTTTGGAAACTGAGTGACGGGCGATGTCCGCGTCTCCTGGAGTTGGCGCTGGGCTGGCCCATCTCTGGGTCTGAGGGGGAACGGAGAGCGTGGCGTCAGAGGGCTGGCAGGGTATAGACGGGGCGAGCCCAGGCAGCCTGCTCTGCGCCGGCCCGAGTCTCAACGCAGGGACCTCACCCCGCACTGGTCCCCAGGTCCTTTCTCCACGATTAGAAACGAGAGGGCTGGACCAGCTGGGGACAGCTTTTCGTTTAAGCTTCGACCCTCTACTGAGAGCTCAGTCTGTAAAACCTGCGAGGGAAGCTGGGACGCAGGCCCTGGCCCACAGCCCCTATGGGACAGGTGACCTGGGAGGGGGTGCACACAGCAGGTGGGAGCGCCTGGCTCAGGGTCTCCTCTGACCCGGAAGTGGATGCGGTTTCTGCCCCGAGGAGAGGGGGTGTGTGGCCTCTGATGGGGTGCGGTTTGTAGTTTGCCTCTGAGCTTCTCGTATTCCTCACACATGCCGTCATGTCTGCACAGGTGCAGTTTCCTGAACATTCCTCAGTGTCTTTGGTGGTTTCTATGTTGGAATAAAATCAGTACAGTGTTAACTATATTAGATTGGAGAAATGGCACGTCAGGACTGTCACCGTCAGGGCCAGGGTTCCATCTCACGCTTGCTGTGCAAGTGAAGACCTTGGAGGGCTCGTTCTCAGTTCTGTTTTAATGTGTCCTGGTTTTATTCTCCCCACACCAGCTGGGAGGCCTGATAACTGTGTCCCAGCCAGATAGGTGAGACTCAAGGGGGGGTTTCTTCTGCAGTGACCGGTTTTTTTTTTAAAGGCATGTGTGCTGGTGGTTTAGGGTCTTGCAAAGCATCGGGACCAGAACCGGGACTTGGTAGCGACTGTCGCGTGTAGGAGGCACCCCCGCCACACACCCGGGGAGGAGCCTCCATTCTCCGTGTCCCCTGCCAGTCAGGAGGGCAGGGCACCTGCGTGGCCGAGCCCACGGCCTCGGCTCGACTCCGGCCATGTGCTCGGGCGGTGTTGGCCCACCTGCCCCGTGTTTTCCAGGGCAAACAGGAGGAGAACGATGTGGTGGAGAAGCTGAACCTCTTCCTGGACTTGCTGCAGTCCTACAAAGTGAGTCTCGCAGCTGCTTGAAAAGATGCTGTGACCTTTCAAGGGCGTGGCTCTGGGGGGTGGGGCAAGAGCCTGAGGTCAGGGCTGCGGAGGGTGGAAGGGTCTCCTGCAGGCTGCCCCCGGAGGGGTGTGGCTCCAATGTGCAGACAGGCAGGAGGAGGTTGCTGGAAGTCAGACTTCAGCTCGGGGCTGGGGCGCCTTGCTGATCTTTGGTGGCGGGTTGACTCCCTATGCGGCCTCGGTGCTGACCTCAGGGTGCTGCCCCGGCCCTGGTGGGGAAGGTTCTAGAAAGGAATCCTGGGGCAGCGGCCGGGTGGTCTCTGCAGCTGCAGCCTGTGATTCCACGGCTCCTCTTCCCACAAGGCCTCTGACCGGCTTATCCTGGGGCCCCAGGGAGATGCCGGAGCGTCTTCCTTCGGGAGCCTGTCCGGTCTTGCTGCTGGCGGTATGCCAGCTTTCTGGGGACGGTCAGGTCATGGTGTGCAGTCTGGAGCCGGCCTGGCGTGCACGCATCCCCGTGGGTCCTGGGCTGTGCTGATTTGCACCATGAGCCCCTTGCAGCTTGGCCCTGGGCGGCTCCCCTGGGCTGTCCCTCCCGCGACTACCGAGCGTGCAGAGCGGGGTGCAGGTGGGTGTCTAAGGGGGAGAGGCCCCACTGGAGGCCGGAGCCCTGACCGCCCCCGCCCCCAGGACCTGTGCGAGCGGCACGAGAAAGGCGTGCTGCACAAGCACCAGCGGGCGCTGCACAAATACAGCCTGATGAAGAGGCAGATGATGAGCGCCGCCGCGCAGAGCCGTGAGCCCGAGTCCGTGGAGCAGCTGGAGTCCCGCATCGTGGAGGTGCGTCTGCGCCGGGTGGGGGCGGGCTGGCTGGGCTTCTCCGCCCTGCCGGCCGGGCCCGCCGTCCTCCCTGCCGTTCTGTGTGTCTGTGTTGGGGGGCTCCGTGAGCTGCCGGGACCCTGATGCCCGTGCCCCGGTGACGGGTGCTGTGACCCAGGGGCGGGGCTCGGGAGGGGCCCGCTGTGCCGGGCCGGGCGCCAGGGCCTTTCTGCTCTGCAGCAGGAGAACGTGATCCAGACCATGGAGCTCCGCAACCACTTCTCGCTGTACTGCCTGCACCAGGAGACGCAGCTGGTCCACGTCTACCTGCCGCTCACCTCCCACATCCTCGGGGCCTTCGTCAACTCCCAGATCCAAGGGCACAAGGAGGTGGGTCCGGGCCGGCGGGCACCCTCCTTCCTGAAGCGGCTGCCCGGCTGACATTGACGAGTGACCCGGGCGGGCGGCGGGCGCCAGGACCTGACACGGCTCTTGGCGGATCCCGCGGTCTCCTGGTAGCTGGGGAGACCGTGAGGCTGTCCTCGTGGTTGGGGGGCGTGGGGTGGGGGGACGGGGTCCCCGGCCTCAGGAGGAGCTGCGGGGAAGGTCAGCGGCGGGGCGCACAGATCCCGGGACGAGAGCAGAGAGGTGGGGTGTCGGTGCGAGGGGCTGGGGGGCCGTGCCTGTGAGGGGACCCCGCAGCCTGAGGCAGCCCGGCCCGCGCTGTCTGCAGCGGCCAGTCCCGCCCACCTGTCCTGGTTGCAGCTCGTGGCTCTGGGCAGGCTCGCGGCGGTGGTCTGCGTGTCCTGTGACCAGCGCAGAGCTTCCTTTGCATGTTTCCTGTAGTTCCTGGTGCCCCTGGAGTTTGCTGGGGTGCCTGCCTGGGGCGCCCTCGGGCACAGTTCGGGAACTGCACGTGCGGCTGAGGCGGCAGCAGGGTGCTCGGACGGGGGCAGGGCCGCACGGTGGTTAGCGTTCACAGGCGGGTCTGGGGGCCGCTGGGTGACAGGCAGAAGGCGGGCACGTCGCTTGCCGCAGCACTGTTTCTCCTCCATGGGCGACTCGGTCCCCCGTCTCCAAACTCGGCGGCTGGACTCACCGCACATGCCCCGGGCCGCCCTGCTCTCAGCAGCCCCTGAGCCGTTCTGCCCCGGTGTCCATCTCAGACGGCCCCCTGCCACCCGGCTCCCCTCCTGCCCGTGCCGATGGCCCCGCTCCTGCAGGCCGCCGCAGGGCCCGGGAGCCACGGCGGCGCCCGGCTCGTGCCTTGTTTCTGCCTTCCTGCGGTGGACGCTGTTGCGGCCTCGCTGCAGAGCCTTTGGCGGGAGCGACCCAGCGCTGAAGTTCCCTAAAGTCCCTCGCGGGGCATCCTGCCTGTCTGTCCATGCGCGGGGCAGAGGGAGCAGCCCGCGTGGCCCCGGCGGTGGGGGGACTGCAGGGCAGGGGTGGGAAGCCACTCTGGGGCCGCGGACGTGGGGGTGCCTGTGTTGTGTGTCCCCCAGCTGCCCCTCAGCTGGCCCGCCCCCTCCTCCCGCAGATGAGCAAGGTGTGGAACGACCTGCAGCCCAAGCTTCGCTGCCTCTTCGTGGGACCGCCCGGCGCCCCGGCCCCCCCGCGGCCCCCCCAGGACGGCCTGTCTGCTCACTAGTGCCCGGGGGCTCGGGGACAGCTCAGCGCCCTCACTAAAACCTCTTTCGGAACGGTGTGTCCCTGTTTGATTCCCTCAGTCGGTGCCCGCCCCCACCCCGAGCCCCTGCGTGTCGGGCTGACGCCCCGTGGCGGGGCCGCCGGCAGGGCCGGGGGTCCAGGTAGCCGTGGCTCCCTTCCCTCTCGGGGAGCAAGGCCGGGGCCGCCTGGGGTGTGCGCGGTGGCCGGCAGCCCTGCACGTCCTGGCCGCGCGGTGGCTGGCACCACTCCTGGTGGTGGGAGTGGGTCAGTTCCTGGAGCGGGCTCTCCCACGTACCCCGGGGAGCACCCTGGAGGCCCTGGCATGTGTGTGCCTGCCTCCACGCTCGCATCCGCATGCCCGCCGGGCTGGGGCGGGGGCGACAGAGGGACCGCGGTGTCTGGAGGCTCGGGAGCTGGCGCCTCCGCCGTGGGTCTGTCCATGTTCAGACGGCTGCTGTTCCGCCTTGGGCGGGCCAAGGCTGGCCGCGCAGCGGGCGCGGGCGTGTCTGCTAGTGACCTCTCCTCTTCAGAGCAACGGGACCCCCTTCCAGCCTCCCTTCCGCTGGCTCCGGCCGGGCGTCTGAGCCCAGTGGGGTTGCATCCGCCTGGGGCTGGGTGTTTCTGCTCTGGACCCTTGACGTGGAAGCCAGGCCTGGAACCCGTCTGCCCCCAAGCCCTCACGGCTCTCTGCTCGGGGGTGGGGGGGAGGTTGGAGCAGGGTGACTGCAGGGGAGGGATCCCGAGGGTTTCTCGGGAACACATGCCTGGTTTGGGGTCTGCCCTCCGTCTGAGGTCCACATGCAGGGCCTGGAGGCTCTGGGGGATGGGCAGGCGTCCCCGACGAGTTGCGCACGTCTGATGCAGGATGCAGCGTGTCCCGCCCCGGCCTGGGCCCGCCACACGTGGGTCCTGCCAGTGCCCCCAGAGCAGCCTTGGTGTGAGCCGATGGCCCCGAGGCCCTGGGCCAGCAGCACAGGTTGGGTGGGGCATCTCCCCACACGGGTCACCGGGCAAGTTCTGGCACCAAAGATTTGAGATGCTGTTACGGGGTGACCGCTCCTGGAGGACTGGCTCCCACGTGGACACGGGGAGCACGCACTTCTTTAGGGGCTGCGGGGGTGGGGTGGGGCGCTTTGTAGTCTGCATCCTCCTCACCCCAGGAGAGGCGGCGTCAGGAGGCTGGGGGTGATGGGGGCATGCTGTGTCCCCCTGCTGGCAGCTGGGGACGAAGGCGCCTTTTCCCTGGAACCCCCGCCCCCCTCCCCACCCCGGGCTGCTGGATGCGGGCTTTCTGATCAGTGATGGGGGAGAGCCAGGAGAGGCTGCTCCTGGGCGGGGTCCCCACACCCTTTGTGTCCTTCCTGCTCCCAGGCTTTCCTCGCCCCCAGGGAGAGCCTGGCCGTGCCTGGGAAAGGACAGCGGTTCTGTGACCCCAGTGGGAGCCCCGGCCCCTCCAGGGTCTGGGAGGACTAAGCGTGGCCGTGCGGGGTGTGCCCTCAGGCCACGTCCCTACAGCCTGTGTCCGGCGAACTCAGTGTGACTCAGCCACGGCCTAGTCGCTGGGCGAAGCCGTGGAGGGAGACGCGGCCGGGGCTCAGCCACTGGAGCTCAGGGCAGCCCTGCATCTGAGGCCTTTTCTCTTGCTTTGTGCGAGTCCGTTTATGTATGAAGCACTTTATGAGGCTGCAGGAGTCAATGACCACCACATCCAATTAGCTGGAATTGTTTACAAATGAGCTACATTCCGAGATTTTTATCAATGAACTTACATGAACAGCTATCATTAAACATATTTATAAAAGCTGCGTCAGGCTGTGAGTCTGTGTGTGACAGATTGATGACCCTCCCGCGCCCCCCAGGGGTCTGGAGCCAGGATGGGAACAGCCTGCCTTGGGGGCGGGAGGGCAACCAGCTGATGGCAGATGAGACTGGGGTGTGAGCCCTGGGCGCTGACTGCCCCTCGGCTTCCCCTTATGGGGGGGGGGTGGGGGTGGGAGGAGACGGCCCCTGGCACACCCTGGGACCCCGCACACATCCCCACGGGCCTCCCACGCCAGCCGGCCCCTTGCCCTTTGGGCCCGTGTCTCTGCCTGTCCTTGTCTGACGATGCAGGTCACAGCCTGGCATGTCTGGAGGCTTCCCGAGGACAGACTGGGCGGGTCACGGTGAGGCCTGGTGGGAAGTGTCGAAAAAGAGTTTTATTTGCCTTTCCATCCAGCCCTGCTCCAGACAGACTGGAGGCCAGGGCGCGGGCAGGCAGGGGTCTCGGGGTCTGAAGGGGTGAGCCAGTGCCGCCCTAGACGGCGTCCACCTCACGGAGTGTGTAGTCCAGGATGGTCTCCTGCCCCTGGAACCTGAAGTAGCCACGGAACTTCTTCCTCTGAAGCAGCAGCGGGAACCAGTAGCTGTCGTCCGGCCACATGTCCCTGAAGGGGATCTGGTCCAGCCGGAACCACTGCGGGCGCATCTCTGCAGGGACGAAAAGGCAGTCACCAGCGCCAGCCTGGATCTCAGACTGACTTTCTGCGAGGGGTTCCCTGAGTTGCTCCGTGCGAGGGGCTTGGCATCCTGTGTTATTTCACCCAGGCGACGGGGCCTTTTTCAGCAGAGGAGGGAGGGGGTGGCGTGGGGCTGCCCCTCCACGCTGCACTCACCATCGCTCTCCACGGGCGTGCCCCGGACGCTGTCCGTGTAGAAGACGTGCACGTCCATCAGCTCGGGGTCACCTGTGAACTCAAACGTGATCTGGCCCACCTTGTGCAGCGTGTCCACGGTCAGACCACTCTCCTCCTGCAGCTCCCTGTGCACAGACGGGCAGATGGGAGGCGCCAGTTACATCGAGGCGCCTGTGTCCACGTGGAACCAGAGTGGAGACGGGTGGATGGAGGCATGGAGAGCGCATGTGTGTGGCCAAGGGGTCGGGTTTAGGACTGCTGTCTCGGGTGCCCAGATGCGCCCCCCACCAGCGGAGCACCCGGGGGCACCGAGGGGCAGCCCTGGCCTGGCCCCGCATGGCCGCTTGGTGGTCCCACTTGGGGGGAGGACCACGCTAGAGCCGGGAGCCCCCCCCCACCCACTCAGCTCCTCATGCAGCCGCCGGGCCCTGAGCCAAAGCCTTCCTGCCCAGAGTCCTGCTCTGGCCCGCCCTGCTCGGAGCTCTGCATCAGCCCGCAGGTTCCTCTCGCCTCGTTCCCAGAGGGGTGGTTTTACCTCTTTTCACCAAGCAGACATCCCTGCCCTCTCGGGCCTCATCCGAACTTGATCGCAGGGGAGGAGCTTCGGGCCTTCCTCGCTGTGCCATCCTTCTCAGGACCCCAGTTCTCTCCCTGCCCCCTACCTATGCTGGGAGGAGGGGCCTGGGGCTGATTGCCCCACCTGAGCTCACAAGCCAGCTGATTCAGCAGGAAATGAGCATGCCCCCCTAAACACGAGTGCCTGTTGAACAACACATCCCCAAGCCGTGTACATGCTGTAGGCAGTTCAGCGAACACACACGGCCTGGTAGCCCAGCAAGAACCCTCGTGACCACTGGCATCTTCCCTTCGGGTCTCTGTCCTTCGTGCGCCCCTCTGAAAACTGCAAACAGCACCTGTACCTGGGACCTGTGCTTCTCACACAACGCTATGGAGCAACGTTCTACGCCTGCAGGAATCCAACCAGTTTCTCTGCCGTGGTGTATCAGAGGATAAGCACCCCACCTGCGCATCGTGAAACCTTCCTGCCTAGCGCCCTCACGCACGCCCTCTGCCCCAGCTCCTCCCCTGGCCTGCTTCTCATCATCCGGGACAGCACTTTCTGGAGGGTCTGCTGTGGGCTCTGGGGGCCCCCACGAGCCCTGCAGCCGTGAAGCTCAGTGCCTGTGTCTCCTGTTAGCGACTCTCACTTCCCCACTGCTCTGAATTTATTTCTGTGGCTGTAAAACTGTTCTAATTATGTCTGACCTTTTAGAGCTGTAGGTTATAAAAAGGTCTCTTTAAGCTCTGATCTCGGAGTTCTGTTAGGAACACAGTGCATAATTACTTCCTGTGCCCACAACTAGGAGTCAGGGAAACCAGTGTGTTCATTAAACACGCACATTGGGTTAAACGGTCTTATTTAAACAGTCGCCGTCCTGAGCCTAGACTCTGCCCTAACCTCCCCGTGAGGCCGGAAGAGGAACTGGGTCCACCTGCTGCTATTCAGCATGGCCCGAGTGATGTTCCGAAAGCTGGAACGTACTCACTGCGATGATTAATCAAAACTAGACACGACCTAAAAAAATGAGTGTGTTTTTGCTAGTGGGGGTGCAAATGGCTCCCCAATTAGACGTAATAGAAGCACTGAGCAGGGCAGCAGGCTGGCGGAGCTTGTTTTTAAAAACATCACCGACTGATTCACTGTTTTGACTAATTTGGGTTCATCTTCCCCGAGTCCATGGCGGGGCATGAAATATCAGTCATCTCCTCGGTGTCAGACCGTTTCAGGCCTGGATAATCAGGCAGCCGGAGATGATACTGTTCCAGTTCTGCTAATGTGTCTGATTTCATTTCTGGGATGTTCCCCAGATGGCAGGCAGGGAATAGGACGAGTGACACTTCAAACCAAGCGTGGACAGCCGAGCGCCCTGGTGGGAGCAGGGTGGAGGCGTGGGACCCTGTGGTCTGGAGCCCACTGCGGAGCTTGGGGGCCCGCCTGCTCTTCCTCCTCCAGCCTGGCCTGCGGGAGTTCTCTGAAAACCACACTCTGCATCCTCACCAGCTCTGGGAATGCTGGCCAGGACGGCGGGCCTGCTCCACACCCAGAGCCCGAACCTGGCTGCAAGGCGCCGCCGGCCCCCCCAGGGAGGAGAATGCATCTTCCTTGGGGCTCAAGTGGCCCCCCCAAGTATGTCCTGCACACAGGAAGACAGAGCCAGCCCCACATGCCACCTGAGTCTGCAGGTGAGTGAGGAGTGCACATTAACCCAGCCCCTGAAGTGGGGCCCACCCCGGGACCCCAAAGGGCAGGGCACCTGACACCAAGGCTGCTGAGACCTTGCCCGTCAGAGCGGGGCTGCCACTGAGGAGCAGCTACACGCACGGGCCAGGAAAGGAGCCAGAGCCGCCCCAGGGGCCGAGCCTCTGCCTCGGGCACGGGGACGTGCCACCCGTCTGACCTCCCCCCTGCAGGGGCTCCGCAGTCCTTTGTCAGGGCGGGTCCTGACGCGGGGGGCAGGGATGGGAAGGAGGCGTTGGGCCAGACTGTGTGGGCTCAATGGATGACACAGGGTGTTGAATTTATCCCCATGAGCCTGAGGGGCAAGAAGGAAAAAAGGCTAAAAGTCTGGAGGGCTGTGTGACCTCGGGCCTGCTCCGTGTCTCTGGGCTTCAGTTCTTGCCCATGGGAATGTAATTGGTGTCCAAGAAGAACGGAGACTGTGAGTGAAAGGTCCCAGATACATTCGTCATCAGCTCCCCTGAACCAATGAAGAAGCCCCTTGGCTAGAAAGAGGAAACCATGAGTTTTCCACCCAAACCACCACCACACAGCAGCAAGCCAAGGTGTACTCGGCCTGGACTGCGTGCCAGGCCCCGTTCAGTCCTCACGCTTATTTTCTCACTAAATCCTCACAATCCTAAGAGGTAGTTGTGGTGGTGGTGGTTTAGTTGCTAAGTTGTGTTTGACTCTTGTGACCCCATGAACTTTAGCCCGCCAGGCTCTTTCGTCCATGGGATTCTCCAGGCAAGAATACTGGAGTGGGTTGCCATTTCCTTCTCCAGGGAATATTCCTGACCCAGGGATGGAACTCAGATCTCCTGCATTGTAGGCGGTCTCCTGCACTGCAGGTGGATTCTTTGCTGACTGAGGCACAGGGAAGCCAAGAGGGAGCAGATGCTGTTATTACCCCCACTTTGCAGATGAAGAAACTGAGGCTCAAGGGTCCGGCTCCGAGTGGTCAGGGGTCTGGCTCTACAGCCTGAGTCCTTGGCCCCTGTGGAGGCTGACTCTGCAGTCAGGCCTCCCTCCCCTCACCTCTTGGCCCCATCCTCGACGGTCTCTCCTTCTTGAACTTTGCCCCCGAAGCCGTTCCACCGTCCGGCCCCGAAGCCTCGTTTCTTCATGCCCAGGAGGACTCGCTGAGGCTGCAGCACCAGGACCAACGTGTAGAGCCTTGAGGTGCGCATGGTGCCCTTGGGTTCTGTGAGGAAGGCGAGGGGCTGGGTCAGCTTGATTCGGGTGTGGACAGGGTGTGGATGGAAGCATGGGCATTTTGGTGGCCAGGTGGACTGGAAACGTGTCCTGGAGAGCAGGGAGAGGTGACGTCCCAGTTCTGCCCGATGTGGCAGATTTTCTGGGGTAGATGGAGACCTGGCCCCCAGACCCAGCAGCATCAGCCCCAGGCCCTTTGCTTGCTGGGGTGATGCAGGTCAGGCAATGGCCAGGTGGACCCTGCCTCTCTCCTTAGTGCAGGGCTGTTCTTGCTCTTGCGTCCACGTCTAAGCCCACCTGGCATGAAATGAACCATGCTTTTTACCCAGTGGTTCTTGCGTCTGGCGTTTGGTCTTGGCCTTTTCATTGTGGGGCCTTCTGGTTATTGGGTTCTGGTTTCTGCCTCTCTGCAGCAGCAGACCCCAGATTCCCAAGCAATGTACAGCTCTGACGGTGGAGAGCCCACCCAGTGAGGCCTGGTCGGCCACCCCTGCTCTGACAGGCTTTCATGTTCCGCTCACAACCACCGCTGCTCTGGGAGCTGGTGCTCAGGGCCTGGAACGCCGCTCCTGCCCGAATGTGTGTGTGTGTGTGGTCCAGAGAAAGACCCTGCAGGGGACGTCTGGTCACTGCCGGAGACATGCTGGAGGTCCAGGACTGTGCTCCCTGTCCACCCACCCTCATCCTGGTCTGGGGCCCACACTGGACGGGGTGCAGGATTCGGGACCAGGCGTGCTCCTGGGAAGTTACGGTGTCCGAGAACAGGGACCGAGGCCTAGGTCCCGGTGCTGGCGGCCAGTTGTGCAGAAGTGGGTCTCTGGGTCCCGCTTCCCTTTAACCTGTGCACTGTCATGTTGCTGACCTGTTAAGGCGCAAAGCCGTGACTTCCTAAATTAGTTAGGAATCTCCGCTGTCAGTTATTAGGCACAGATCATATACTTTCCAAAACGCATCCCACTTAACAGACCCAACAACCCTGTGAGCTGAGACTTGGCTTCTGTTTTCAGCCAAGGAAACTGAAGCTCAGAAAAGCTAAGTCTGACAGAAAATCAAACTCCAGAGCCAGTCCCGAACTCTGGGTCTACCTGCTGTTGAAGTCCAGTTGGCCACAGCTCTTGGCACTGCCGTCAGGCGGGTCCCCAGGGTGCCCACTTGACGTCAGGGGCCAGGCGGCCCCCTTTCTCAGCAGGGGGTCCTCTGAACGGGATCACCGGTCCACTGAGGCCCGTGGCTAGGGTTTAAAGAGACTGCGCGCCGTCGAGCGCCAGGCTCGGCTCCGGTATCTGGCCGCCCGTGTAGGGCCTCCAGCTGCCCTTCGGCGGGTCCCAGGCCCATCTCCGGCGGCCGCATCCCCTGCTCACCTGTGCTCTCACACCCGCGCTCACCCAGGCCCCGGCACTGCGCGCGCCTTTCGAACCCACGGGCCGCTTCCGGGGGCGTGGCCTCTGGCCGGAAGTGAGGCCGGCACTTCCGGTGGCGGCTGCGGGAGCTGGTCCGAGTCCATGGCCGGGTGAGCGGTGAGGCGGCTGAGGTGGGCGGTCGGTGGGCGCGGCGGCTGGCGATCAGTGGGAATTAATGGAGCACCTACTGCATGTGTGCGGGAGGCGGAGTAGCCAGACGCCAGCCCCATTTTTCGGGTCCGAAAAGGGGCTCAGAACTTACCTCGTTCTGGCCCGGAAAGGGGTCGGGTCAGCCCCAGCGAGGTGACTGGCGGGGACCGGCCGTGCTCGGACCGTCCAGGGCTCCCGAGGAGCGGCGGCGGGCGGAGAGCTGGAGAGGCCTTTAGGGAGAGGAGGGGCCGCTGCTGCTGGAGGTGTCGCTTGTGCAGAGCACCGCAGGCCTGAAGCCTGTGTCACGGAAACGAGAGCCCCGTGCGGCTGGACCCTGGTCATGGGATGGGGCTGGCGGTCAGCTGCCCACTTCAGGTGGACCCGGGGTGTGCAACGCCCCTCTCCACCGCTTCGCTGACGGTTGGAGTTAACTCGGCGCCCGGGACCACTAAGCCCTCTTTCCCTGAGGCTCCTTACGCCTTTTGAAGGCAGCAGTTCAAGAGTATTGTCTCCAGATCTTTGTCAACATGTTTTCATTCTGAGGGGAACTTTGCCTGGGAGCCATGGGACTAATAATAGTGTTTTTTTTTTTTCGTCAGAAGGAAAGAATGTAGATACTTTGTAGGGTTGTTCTGAGAGTTAAATAAATAAAGTGAAGTGTAGATAACCCATGGCAGTCAATAAACTTAAAAGCCCCACTTTCCAAAGAGGCTTGAAAATTGCCCTTCTGAGTTATACACAGGGCAGGTTCAATTTTATTAAGAAATGTGACAGGTTGGTCAGACCCTGTGCTGCCGGCCCAAGCCGTGGAAGTAAGTAAGGCAAAGGACCTGTCCTCCTGTGTTTTTTTTTAAATCTCTTAAAGCCCAATGAAAATTTGTATCCTGTGAGAAAGAATGTTCCTCTCATGAAATTTATCAGTGTTTTCAACCAGTACTGGGAAAACTTTGGTTGATACACAGTGACTATCATTTCCGTTTGAGATTTTCTTGTTAAGAAAACTTGGGGAGAGAAAAACATCTTTTGACTACAGAGGAGAGGCCTGCTGGATTAATTTGCTCAGGCTCCTGCAAGCAGGCACCCCAGGATGGGTGACTGAAAGAGCAGAAATTTACTGGCTGAGTGTCTGGAATCTGGAAAACTGAAATCAAGTTGTCAGCAGGATCAGTGTCTGAAGCCTCTCCCCTTGACTTACAGAAGGCCGTCGTCTCCCTGTGTCTTCATGTGGTCTTTGTCCTGTGTGTGTGTGTGTCTTGATTTCTTCATATAAGGACACCAGTATTGGATAGAGCCCACCCATTTACCATTTAAGATAGTGGTAAAGAACCCGCCTGCCAGTGCAGGAGACATAAGAAATGTGAGTTCGGGGGGGTGTAGAAAAAAAAAAAAAAAAAAAGAAATACGAGTTCAATCCCTGGGTTGGGAAGATCCCCTGGAGAAGGAGATGGCGACACACTCCAGTATTCTGCCTGGAGATTCCCATGAACAGAGAACCCTGACAGGCTACAGTCCATAGGGTTGCAGAGAGTCGGACACGACTAAAGCGTCTTCACACACACACACACACACGACTTTATTTTACTCTTGAGGTGCTGGGGGTTAGGACTTTCTCATAGAGACTTTGGGCTTCCTATGTGGTGCTAGTGGTAAAGAATCCACTTGCCAGTTCTGGAGACATAAGAGACAGGGTTGGATCACTGGGTTGGGAAGATCCCCTGGAAATGGCAGGAAGGAAATGGCGACCCACTTCAGCACTCCTGCCTGGAAAATCCCATGGACAGAGGAGCCTGGTGGGCTGCAGTCCGTGGGGTCTCGGAGCTGGACGTGATTGAGCACACGCAGACTCGGGGGGCGTGGTTCAGCCCACAAAACCTTTCCGCTGCAGCCTTGGCAAGTCGCCTCTTCCACTTGGGCCATGGTGACCCATCTCTGAACATGTGCGGGTTGAACCTGGGGCCCCACTGGCCTATGGGATGTCAACCTGCTTGCTCCCTTTTCCTCACCAGGTCCTTGAAACTGGTGTGGGCTTCCCTTCAGCGTCAAAGGTTCCACACCACTGGGAGTTGCTACAAGGGCCGGACTGGCGCTGAGCACCTGTGGCTGACGCGGCATTTGAGGGACCCATTTGTGAAAGCTGCGAAGGTGGAAAGTTACCGGTGTCGAAGCGCCTTCAAGCTCCTGGAAATGAACGAGAGGCACCAGATCCTACGGCCTGGCCTCCGGGTGTTAGACTGTGGGGCCGCTCCTGGCGCGTGGAGCCAGGTGGCTGTGCAGAGAGTCAACGCTGCGGGCACAGGTGGGGCCTCCGCACTGTCTTAGGGGCCTTCCGACCACTGTGGTTTGGACGCAGGCTGGCCGCCCTCTTCAGGGCACACAGAGCAGCCAAGTCGCCTTGTGAAAGCACATGCTTCTGCGTGCTGGTTTAGTAGGAATGATACAAACAACACTGACATTTTCAAAATGAAAGAGGGAGGTAGAAAGGGGGAGTGAAGGTGAAAATCACCTGTGACCACACCATAGTAGCATGTAGGCCGACACGCTAGTGTGTGTCCTGGGCCTGTGCTGCTGATGTGTGGCCTCAGCAACGAAATCAGACAGCCGTCTGTAAGTCAAGTCTCTTTCCTCAGCAAAGAAATCGCAGAGCGATTTCTTTTTGCTTGCTGATATTTCGACATCTTCCCTTGACAGGACAACTGAATCAACCTGGGGGTTTCCTGGAGTTGCTCCTGGGGCTGCCCAGGGAGCCCTCGTGGCTCTGGATTCTCCACTTTGGCCCAGCTCGAGAGACTTAGTTCTTATCTCATCTATATTTGGGGGTTTTAACTAAGATCATATATATAAAAAAGTTGCCTCTGACTAATAGATCAACTAAGTATCCATACAAGGTAGAAAATGATACCATCCATTTAAACAGCTGCATACTATCCCAGATAATGATTATACTGTTGGTATTTAGCCAGTTTCCTCATCATGGGCATCAAGATTGCCTTTGAGTCTTTTGTAGGTGAGCAGTGCTGAGGTAACAATCCTTACCACTTGTATTTCCTACTGTAACTTCTGAGGGTACCACCTGCACGAGCAGGTCACAGAGATCTCTCCCATACACCTTAGAATGGGTGTGTGTGCCCATCTTCCTGATGAGAAAATTGAGATCTACAGGAGTTTAGTGACCTGCAGAACCAGGCATGCCACTCCCTGGGTTTTGTCATCAGTCTCTTTAATGTGGGTAGGATGCCTCACGGGGGTTTAGAACAGTTTAAAAACATTTCTTACAAGCTCAGTAATTGTTTATCATTCAAGTGAATGAATCTGTGTCAAAAACTTCAGTTCATTTTCCCACCACTGAGTCTATCCACAGACTTCCTAATGACTGATTTTAGAGGGTCCTGTCCCCCTGATTGCTCTTCAGGAGAAGCAGGAAAACAGCCAAGTTTAACCTGTAGGAAGATGTGGGAGAAGCAGAGACTGGGTACATAAAATGGCTTGGGTTCTTTTACTCCCAAAAGAAGTTGCAAAAATGCAACCAAAGCCATTTGCTTTTATTTATTTATTTTTTGCCATTTGCTTTTAGAAGGCACTTTCTGGGGCTACTGTACGTGGGACGTTAAAGGAACGAGCACAAATGCGTAAAATGGGAGGAGAGCTGTCCCACTCTCCAGGGCTGAAAGCAGAGAGTTTGAAAAATGAGGCACCCTGCAGAACAGCTGGACTTCTCATCTTTAGATAAAGATCAAATACCCTGCCCCTCACCCGCAGAGCAGCCTTTTTACTAAGCAGAGCAAGCTCTGAGTCTGTGACTGTTCCTTCATGGATCCACCCTGGTGTGTAGGGAGTGGTGCTGGGAGGGGCTGGGGGGAGGTGGAGGGGGGCGGCAGTGGCCTTGCAGGCAGGAAATCCCCTTTCAGGTGAAGTGAAACTGACATCTTTTTATTCACAGCTGGTAGCACTCAGGCATGGGCAGGGTATCAGTTTTTTACCTTATTTAGCATCTGTCCACTTTCCCTGTTTACTGGCTTGTTTCTAGTAGTTTCTACATTGAAAGAAATTGGGTTAAACTGCAGAATGGATTTGTTGATTTAATCCAGAGGCACTTTATATAATATGTCCTTCTCTGTTTTAGTTTATCAAAAAGACTCCTCAGAGATAAGAACCCTTTTAAGGGAGAGCAAGGCTCGGAGAGTGAAATGGAGTCAGAGGTGGAGTATCAAGGCCAGGATGTGGCCCCATGTCTGCCTGTCCCCTGGGACAGTCAGGTTGCCTCTCCCAGGCTCAGTTTCCTCAGATGTAGAGGGAAGACCACCACTCCCCGCCCGCCACATGTTTTTCTAGGAGGAAAACCCTGTGTCCCCATTTCTGCACATTAGTTCTTTTTCTTGGTCCTGACTTTTTTTTTTTCTTTAGCCTGTGCCATGTGGGATCTTATTCCCCAACTAGGGATCAAATCTGTGCCCCCTGCATTTGAGGCACACACTCTTAACCGTTGGACTGCTAGAGAAAGTCCTCTTTATCTCTGTTTTATTATTTTGTTACATTTACTTTTTGTGGGATGATTTTGGGGTGTCAATGAGTAAGTACCTTCACCATTTCTTCCTTAGACCCCAGTGCTCCTGTTGGCTTTGTGCTTGGGGTAGATCTTCTCCACATATTCCCCCTGGAAGGAGCAACGTTTCTGTGCCCTGCTGATGTGACTGACCCTAGAACCTTCCGGAAAATCCAAGAGCTGCTTCCTGGTGGGAGAGCAGACGTGATCCTGAGTGACATGGCACCCAACGCCACAGGGATCCGTGGCCTCGACCACGACAGGCTGATTAGCTTGTGTTTGTCCCTTCTGGACATGGTCCCAGATGTCCTGCACCCCAGGGGGACATTCCTCTGTAAAACCTGGGCTGGAAGTCAGAGCCATCGGTTGCAGAAGAGACTGACTGAGGAATTCCAGAACGCAAGGACTGTAAAGCCCGAGGCCAGCAGGAAAGAATCATCAGAGGTGTACCTCCTGGCCACACAGTACCGAGGGAAGCCGGGAGGTCTGAAGGGCTGAGCGCTTGCTCTGCTGTTTGGCTCTTTCTCACTGCAGATGTAGCTTGAGCTCTGTCCTGAAGTGTGGCTGGGGAGATCCGAGCTGGATCTGGGATGCAGCAGGCAGGACAGATGGGGGAACTTTTTTTAAGACAGAACTATATTCAGTGTTCACGATATATGATGATATAAAAAAATGGTCGCTATAACATGATTTGTGAAGAGTTACCATGAGAAAGAGACAAAGAGAAACAGATGAAAAGACTGGGATGCATAAAAAAAAACGCTGAGGCAGAGAAACACATAGACAGCTTTATGGAATTTTCTCACCATGGTTAGTATGTTACAGGGGAAGTGGCTTCCATCATTGCTGCAAAACGATCCCCAGGTTTCCAGGTGTTATTTTGGCTATACAGTGTAATGTAGAAAAATCTGAACCTTCAGTCAGGGTTTGTTTCCATCTTTGTGGTGAATGATCCGGAAATACTTCAAGCAGTGAGAGCTCCCTAAGGAAGACATTTGGTATGAATTATGTACGGGGGGTGGGGGGGACGGGGGGCAGTGTGAAACTGGAAATGTTTCTATAACATGCCAGGCTCCAGAAACTTAAAGGTAATAACCAAAGCAAGCAGACACACGGTGTGTTTATTTCCTTTTACTCTCTTCCAGGAACTCAAGGCTATAAAATAACATAAGAGTGTAATATCTTCTGGAATTTCCATACTTAAAATTGATTTCTTTGAAACCATTTTCTGGAGGAGTGCTCACCCCTTAAGCGTATATTGACTGTGATGATGATTAAATCTTGTCGACTGAAAACAAACACACAACCTAAAAAGCTGGGAGTCATTTTTATTTGGCAGATAAAATATGGGGACTTAAGCCTGGGACACAGTATCTCAGGTAACTCTGAGGGACTGCCCCAAAGAGGTAAGAGGAGCAGCTGGAGTATATAGGAGTTTTCGGAACAAAGACCAGCTGCTTGGAACAGCAAAAGATTTCTGGTTAATAAAAAACTAGATGTCTCCAAGAATTGAATGCTTTCCTATGTGTGGGAAGATGCAGGAGTCTCAGGCTCACTGAAATTCTTCCTTTGATGTGTACCTCAGCTGCCTGGGCCAGTGTGCTGGGCTTTCTCACCCTGAGTCTCCTCAGGGTGCACTGTCGGGGCTGGAGGTGGGGTGGCGGGTGGTGGCAGCTGCAGAGTCTGATGATTTGGTGGCCGGCATTAGGTTTTGGGGCTTCCCTGGTGGCTCAGATGGTAAAGAATCTGCCTGCAATGCAGGAGACCCATGTTCAGTCCCTGGGTGGGGAAGATTCCCTGGAGACGGGGATGGCTCCTCACTCCAACGTTGCCTGGAGAATCCCATGGACAGAGGAGCTTGGCCGACTAAGCCCATGGGGTCACAAAGTGAGACATGACGGAGCAACTGATCTGTTTTCACCCTGAGCTCATCCTTAGGAGTGGCTAAGGACTGCAACATTATTTACTGATATGGCAGGCAGCGTTTTTAGTCCACAAATCCCAAGGATGACTGGGGAAGAAATGGGGTCTTAGGAAAGTCCACATCCGCGAAGTAGTCTGCAGGCCGGCCTTATAAAATATTTTTTCATCTTATTTTCACTTGCCCCGTGTCCTACCTCCACATCCTTTTTCCTTCTGGCTACACAGATTCATGGTTTACTCTCTGGAAATGCGGTGCAGACGCTCGGGCGCTTCGCCGGGGTTGTGGAGGAGGAAGAAGGGACTTGAGAGACCCCTTAGTAGACGCAGGCTGGAGAGATTCCAGGAAGGACCTACTGCCTGTGGGCTGACTGCGCCCCGCCCTTGCTCCCTGGAGAACGGGACCCAAACGGCGGCTCCGCACCCCAACAGCTCCCAGGGCGCTTGGAGGACAGCTTAGTAGCATAGTATTTCCTGTTTTTCTTTTCTTAGTGGAAAGTAAAAATGCATTAATTAATTCAAGCAAACACCGTAGTGGCAAAGGCTGCGGACTAGTCAGGAGTGCAAGAAAGTTTGGCCCCAGGAGGCCACCGTTGGGCGGTGCTATTCCACACAAGACAGTGCAAGACAGCCGTCCAGTGGAAGCCTGGCCAGCGGCGGACAGGCGCACCAAGGGAGTCCCGCGGGTCGGCCTCGGTTCCGAGCGTGCTCCGAGCAGCGGCGTCCCGGGCGTGGGACGGACACTGAGGCCCAGGTATCCGTCAGTGCGCCCACCCGGAGCTTTACGGGCAGTCTCGCCCAGATCTCGCGAGAGCGCAAGCGCACGTCTCGCGATACGCGGGCTCGGGTGCAAAAGAGGGAGATCTGAGCCGCGGCGGTGACGGCTGCAAGCAGTCTGAGGCGGTGAGGTGAGCGGCCAGGGTCCCGGGCGGGGGCCTGACTGAGCCGGAGGCGGGTGCCCAGCAGAGCCGGCGGGAGTCGGGCAGGGAAGAGGCTGGGGCCGCCCTCGGGCCTCCTCCGGTGGCTGTGAGCCGGGGCCCCTCGGCGTTCCCGCGTCCTTCTCTGAGACCCGGGCCGCCGGGCTTTTCCCGGCGCACCCACTGTGTCCGCTCGCTCACCGGGCCGGGGTCCTTGCGGGCCCGCGCTGCGCTCCGTGCTCTGTCCTCTGAGCCTTGGCGTCCAGTGCGCCCCCCCGCCCCAAGACTTCCTCTCCGAGAGGAGCTGGAAACGGCCGGGGCAGAGGCGGCCTCGGAGGAGAGGGGCTTCAGCGATCCCCCCACCGCCGCCCCCGGCCCGAGACGGCGCGGTGCACTCTGAGGGGCTCTTCCTCAGTTCCTTGCGAGTTGACCGCACTGTCGCCTGCACCTCTGCACCTGAGCGGTCAATGTGGGGTGCCACTACTTCGTTTTCCACCCGGGGAACCCGGTGGGAAGATAGGAAGCGCCTTGCCCACAGTCGCACTCCTGGCAGGTAGTGGGAGGGGCACTTGGATTTCCTCTCCCGTGTAAGTTAGGAGAAAGCAGGTAGAGGAGCGGTGAACTCAGCAGGCCAGCGAAAGCGCCCGGGGCGCTGAGAAGTGGTGCTGCAGGTGGTGAGGATCCTTGTAATGTCTGTAGGTTCCCTCAGGACGGGGAGGGCACTAGAGAGAGTGCTCTGCACTCCAGCTCTGGGTTCTGTCCAGAGCAGCTGACGCCCAGTGATGAGGCTTCTGGAAGACCTGAGTTCTCCTGGATACAGAGGATGGCGTTTGAGCTCCCACCTTTTCCCTTGCCTTATGGAGCGGCTTAGTTCCAGGCAGGTGAAAATGCATGTGTTCTTTTCATTCTTGTGTATAAGGTGTATCAGCTCTTACAGGGGATGCTGTCTTGAGAAGAGGGTATATTGGCTAAATTTCCCATCGCGGGGTGGAAAGTACTAGTTCAGTTCAGTCGGTCAGTTGTGTCTTACCTCTTTGCAGCACGTGGACTGCAGCACACCAGGCCTCCCTATCCATCACCAACTCCCAGAGAGTATTGTGGCCCCGGTCCAACAGCGATTTGCCCTCCGGAGCAGAGTGCTGCTGCCTGGCTCCACGCGGGCCGTGTTTCTCTACCAGGCCCACAGTTCTCTTGGGGGCTCCTCCCGGGTCTCTCTCCCAGTGCATTTTCCATGTGTATGAAGGAGAGGTGGCGAGAACTGCTGTGTTGGGTGAGAGTGGAAAGGACAGACTGCAGAAAACAAGGGCTCTGCGTGCACAAGAACAGTTGTTGTTTAGTTGCTAAGCCACGTCTGACTCTGCGACCCCATGGACTGCAGCCCACCAGGCTCCTCCATCCATGGGATTTCCCATGCAAGAATATTGGAGTGGGTTGCTGTTCCCTCCACCAGGGGATCCTCCTGACCTAGGGATCAAATTCGGGTCTCCTGCAATGGCAGGTGGGTTCTTTACCACTGAGCCACCAGGAATCCCAGTGCACAGGTCAAGGTTCTTGTTAAATGGGAAATGCAGCATCACACCAAGACTCTTCACTTTTTTGGAGGTGGGGAGTGGGTTGAGGGCAGGTGTTTTCCATCTGATACTCAGGGGTCATCAGTGAGAGCTGGCTGCTCGCCTCGGAGGAACAGGGCGTGCCCCTGGAGCAATCCACGCCTTTTGGCTGGGCGCTGTGCTGGGGCACCCCCACGCTTTCTGACCAGTAGACGGCCTGGCGCGAGGCTGGGCTTGGCGCGGGCGGGGATGCAGGCTCTTTGCTGCTGCTTGCCCTTGGCCTTCACACCTTGGCCTGTGGAGCACGGGCGACCTTAGGGCCAGGCAGACCTCAGTTCTGTAGCTCTGGACGCCTCGCCTCTCAGATAATATTCAAGAAGACCTGGCTCATCTGCCCAGTCTGAGGATTACGATGACGTATGTGAAATTCAAGCAGAGTGACAGTTACACTCTGGCGATGGCTGTGCCGTCTGCGTTTGGAGCCTTCTCTTGGGCTCTGTAATCCTCTCAGCCTTGAGAAGTGGGGGCCTCAGTTTTCAGATGAGGAGATGGGCCCCAGAGGCCTTGGTGCTTACTAAATGTCAGGTGCCTTTCTCTGTGGTACCTGGCTAAAAATGGTAGCGATGTCATTGTGTAATTAGCATTGCAGTGGTTGTCATCCTCACTGCCACTGTTGGGTGCTTTGTTTCTGATTCCGGGAAGCTAGGCTTTTTGTGAGTGCTTATGTGGGAGGTGTGCCACCTGACTGGTGAGCACCTCGTCTTGGGAGCCATCCATCTGTCCTGCTGGTCTGCCGGTCAGCACTCTGATGGTCAGTAGCTTGGTGGCATACTGTCTTTTTATGCCTCCATTTCTTCTCTGAGAAACTGGAGGTATGGGCTCCCAGTTAACTCCGAAGAATGTGGTTACAGACGCTGGAATATTTTAAGGGTTCTGAGAGCATTAGGGGAGTGGGACTGCCCACAGGTACCCTCTGACCGGGCAGCTGGCCATGGTGATGGCGCATCAGAAGGCTCCCTGTGACACTTCCCTTGTTTTTTTCCAAAAGGGAAGTAATCATGGAAGACCTGGGGGAGAATACCACCGTCCTGTCCACCCTGAGGTCTTTGAA